TTTACACATCGTCACTTTTTTATCCACTTGTCTATTGATGGGTACTTGGGTTGCTTCCATATCTTGGCAGTTGTAAATAATGCTACATGAACATAAGACACAGTCTTCCAAATAGTGTTCTGGGTTTCTTTGGATATATACCCAGAAGTGGAATCACCGGGTCACATAAAGCAGTTTCATTTTTAAGTTTTTGAGGAACCTCCATACTGTTTTCCACAGTGGCTGCACCAATCTGCATTCCCACCAACAGTGCACAAGAGTTCCCTTTCTTCCACATCCTCATCAACACTTGATGTTTCTTGGTTTATTGATGATGGCCATTCTGACAGGTGTGAGGTGGTATCTCATTGTGGTTTTCATTTACATTTCTCTGATGATGAATGATCTTGAGAATCTTTTCATATATCTATTGGCTGGCTATCTGTATGTCCTCTTCAGAGAAGTGTCTCTTCAGGTCCTTTGCTCATTTTTTAATGGGATTCTTTTTGGTGGAAGTTGAATGAGTTTTTTATAAATTTTGTATATTAACTCCTTATGGAATGTGTAACTGGTGAATACCTTCTCACATTCAGTAGGTTGTCTTTGAGTTTTGTTAATGGCTTCCTTTACTGTGCAAAAACTTAGTTTGATGTAGTCCCATTTGTTTATTTTTTCTTTTGTTTCCCTTGCTGGAGGAGACATATCAGAAAAAATACTGCTATGAGAAATGTTGGATATTTTATTCCCTAGGTTTTCTTCAAGAAGTTTTATGGTTCTAGTCTTACGTTTAAGTCTTTTGATTAAGAATACCTTAATCTATATAATAACCATCTATATTACAATAGTTTTGAGAAGTATTTGTTTAAAAATATCATATAACAAAAATCCACTTTTATTTTCTGGCTAGCAACACAGAGTTTAAATTACTGGAAACTTTTTATTAACGTTAGCATTTTCCACATTACACATGAACTGCACACCAAAATTTAATTCTAAGTTGGTGTGGCAAAGCAGAATACATTTTTCTGCAGAAGCTATACAAAATAGTAAGGATCTTAGGTCAGTAGACAAAAAAAAATGTACTCATTTCATGATGTACAGTAGCCCCTCCCCTATATTGAGGTTAAATTTTTGAAAAGTCAGTAAGGTAAGAGAGTTCTCAGTGGAAGAATCTATGGCCTTAGAGTCACAAATAAACAGAAGCACTTGTAAATATTTTTTACACTTGTTAAAACAAAAAAAACCCCAAGAATAATAAAATATTAGTAGCATTATATGCATCTTAATTTATAGTAATGAATATATAGAAGTAGTTCCATTTAGTATTCCTTGATCATGAAAATCTTAAAGATGTTCCTCTTCTATATTAGAAATTACATAGACATTTGCTTTGTTGCAGAGAGTATGCATAGTAAAAGACTTCCCCCTGGGTCTTATCCCATTCAAACATTCTGTGCTTGTTGAATTTCTCTCTCTTTTTTTAATATAGTAAAAAAAAAAAGTAAAGTTACCATCTTGGATAACAAAACTGCTATCTGCTCAGTGTATAAAATTCAAACACATCAAATGCAAAGAAAGTAAAAATCATTCCACTCTCACCATCTAGAATAACTGCTATGAACATTTAGGTGAACATCATTCTCAATATGTATTTGTGTGTGTGTGTGTATAAAGAAAACGAAGATATATGCTTTACATAAGTGGGATATACTGATCTATATCATGCCTCTTTTTCTCAGTATATGTCAAAGGCCGTTTAAGTCTACAGTACATCCACATCATCTTTATTAATGGCTGCATATCACTCCATTGCATGGATGAACCATAATTTATTTAGCCGTTCTCTTACCAATGAATTTCACATTCTGTCCAATAGTTCTCAATTATTAAGTTAAATTATTGCCCATATATCTTGGCATATTCATCCTATTGATCTTATGATAAATTCCTAAAAGCAGAATTGTTAGATAAAAAGTGTATGTACCTCACACCTTGATACACACTGCCATGCAGCCCTCCGGAACAGCCAAACTATTTCACACATGCACCAATTGTGCCCTTCTTAGACTTCCTGCTGAACTTGCCAACAATCTACCCCCTCTCCTCTCACAGCTCCAGCTTCCTCCACGTGAACTGTGGAAGGACAGCGGGATAATGCTTAGGTCGAGGATTTAGTTCCATCAGCTTTCTTATCATCCATGGCTACACTGCTGTAACTTCAAGCATTTCTTTTTTAGACTTCTTCCCTCCTCCATTCCAATTTCTTTCTTTCCTAATAATCTCTAATAAATCTTACAGTACCAATTACCTGGAATTAAATTCTCACACATGCCAAAAAAAGATATGAAGAAGTAAAATTGCCTTAAATTATTCTTGGAGGGACATGGAAGACATGAGAGAGAGAGAGAAATGAAATCACTACCTTGGCCTGTCATGTGAAGACAATAGACACTTTGAGATAATTAATCTTTAGGATTGCCATATAACCTTTGTGCACAAATATTTTTATAGGAGATTCCATTCTGAAAGGTCTTTCATTCAATTATGAAACCAAGTACTTACTATGTGAAGATACTGTGCTCCCTAAAAGGCTCTTGTTACCTTATCTCTTGGTTCCAAGAGACTGATCTGTCCTTTTCAATGTCACTACTCATAGTTTCTACCCATCCCCTTAGCACACGAGAACAAGTCTTAACGGTCTGTCAATTCAAGATGTTTTTACTGAGTTTAACTTCAAGTCAGGTACTGTGCTTGTTAAGACAGACAGATAAGACACAGCTCAACAAGAATCAACAATCTAGAAGTGCGGAAGGTGAGAGGAGGTCCGTTACTACTGTATATGGGGCATACTGTTACTAAAGCTATGATGAGCCTGAGAATCCTGAGAAAAACTTTACACCTTTCTTAAGAGCTTAAAAAGTGTATTCTTCCCATTTTCCAGGAGGATGTCCACAGATGATGATGATAAATCTTGGCATGTAAAGACTTACAGTAAATTGAGGTACATCATTCTAAATGGGTGAAAAGGAACAAGAGAGAAGAAAGTGGAGGCTTTATGAATTTATTCTTCATTTTCAACCTGAGCGGATGGGGAGGTGGAGAGCAGGTGACACAGGAAACTTGTTGGTAATTTAAAACTAGCTTTGAATAGTCCATACAGGCGACCTCTCCCATCACTAAATCTCTTCCTGATGACACATTTTCCCTTCCTCTTTTAATGAGATCCCTTTCTCAGTTGTTGCAATGCTTGTGGGCTTTAGTGGGATGGATTATTGGAACCAATAACCTGGCCTGGCTTCCCTATAGTAGCTTTCCCCAAGATTGTCTGAATCACCATCTGTCAAAATTGAAAGTGACAAAGAGATTAATATGTTATTTCTGTAATATGCGAAGAGAGTACATACATACACGTACATGTACATATAGGTGTGAGTGTTTTGACTCCTCTACCTTGACTATCTCCCAGATCCTCTTCACCATTCCCTACAGTGCACAAAAAAGTCTAACCGTCATTACGTCTTGTCAAAAGAGGAAACAGAAAAGTAACTTGATTAGTAAATAGAGTTTGGACTGGAGCCCAGATCTTAAGAGATGTAAATTGGTGCTCTTTTCACAAGGCTGTACTTTCATGTTGGCTCCACTCTTTCATTCAACCAGTTCAAAATACACCCTACATTACCTTCCCCTTACACATCTCTCACCTTAACGCTTCCTCTGGCTTCTTACTCATCTACACTAACATGGAAATACTGAGGTTTGTGCATACCAACCTCTTTCCTCTGTAAAAACATTTTCCTCTTTGTTTTTCATTACACACATGTACACACACACGCACATTAGACTTGTCCTGTCTCACCTGAACTTTGCATTCTGATTTTCTATGGAGACTGTGCCATTCAGTGCAAAAAATGAGCCTTAAAAAAAAATCAGCTCTGGCTGATGTGGCTCAGTGGATGAAGTGCAGGCCTGCAAACCAAAGCGTCCCCTGTTTGATTCCCGGTCAAGGTACATGCCTCGGTTGCAAACCGGGTCCCCAATAGGGGCGCATGAAAGACAACCACACATTGATGTTTCTCTCCCTTTCTTCCTCCCCCACCCACCTCTGTCTAAAAATAAATAAATAAAATCTTTTACAAAAAGCAGTCATGTTCAAATGCCTATTTTGCCTCTTACAGTCTTCGTGACTAATCATATTACTTAACCTCTCCATCTCACTTTTCTCACCTGCAAATAGGGAAGAATGCATAACTCATTGGGCTTTATAAGGTAGCTAGCATATGTCATGTGCTAGCACTGTCACATACCAGGAGGTACTTAATAAACATAGTTATTTAGTATAAAAATAATACCTCACAGGACTGTTACTCCTACATTCCTGATGCGTCAGTAGTATCTCTAAATATGTTAGTTTCCCCTCTTCCCAACACAGATTCATAAACTAGTTCAAATTCAACAAAGATTTCCCCCATTTAGACGCAGAAGTATTTGTATGTTTACTAAAATAACACTGAGAGCTACCCAGAAATAATTTCTCCTCTTCTTAACTTTAAATCTTTGGAAGAACATAATCACATTTTGCAAATTACCCAAAAGGCATGTTGTAGCATGCCGACAGAAACAACAGGTGTAAGTGCCTTCTCTATAACAACTGGGTGTTTAGGCGCATTTTAGTTACCTCTGGTTCATTGCCCTGCAGCCGGAATAAACAAATTTGTTACACTCAACACATTGTTCAACTCCGGCAGGGAAAGAAAACTTCAGACAATGTCCCATAAATCTCAAGGAGTGACTGAGAACAGACGCCGCGCAGTGACGTGGCCTAGGCAAGTGAGTGACAAGTAAATGTTTTGTCTGTGCCTGTGGTGCGTCCATGTGTCATCGTGAGTGCTCCCGTGTACCCGTACAACTGAAAGTACAGTTATGTGCTCCGCGAATTCTGAGCGCGAACGCGTATCCCTTTGAACCCGAGTGCACAAGGAGTGAGCGATGGTGCGAACCCCCGCTGTCCTCCAGGTGCTTACCTCCGCGGACGAGCAGGTGGACGCCGATGGGCGCCGCCATGTTGGCTCCGGTCACGTGGCCGCGGGACGCCTTCGCTTTCCCGCCCCGCCCGCCGGAGCGGGTCCAGTTGCCGCTCGGCAGAAAACCAGTTACCGACACTGCCCTAGGGGAGCGCGCGTGCGCGCGGGGGGCCTGACTGCGGGAGCCCGGGCGGCGAAGCGGCGGCACCGGGGCCAGCGAGGGAACCAGCGGCCGGCTGAGCCCGTTCCGGCCGCGAGAGGCGGGCTCCAGCCGCAGTTCGCGCGCTTGCTCTGAGCCCCGGCGCCCAGGTGGGATGGAAGAAGCCTATCAGGTAAGCGTAGCATCCAGTATTTGTAGCATCAACATTTTGGTGCATGGAAACCTGAAGTTGGGAGGAAAAAATAAAGCACAATCAAACGTTCAACATAGCACTTTGCATTGTTTGCCACATTCTTGCAAATTATTTCCCTGTATTCAGTTGAAAGGTAAAATTTGGTTCAAAGTCACCAGCCGCCCCTTGGCACTCCCATAATGTACATTACTCAGCAGAGACTCCAGACAAGACAGGATTTATGTGCAGCTGCAAAATCTATTCTGAGTACTCCAGTGGGTATGTTCAAGGGACTTCTCATTTCCCAAGGTCACCTCCCCTCCCGCTTCGCTTTATTAACTGAAGTCTTAATCCTAAATTTGATTTTTAAGAATGAGAGGATGACGTCTGCCAACTGGCGCTGCCAAAACATGCAACCTACGGAAAGCAATTGTGAGTCAAGTGAAGGAGCTATGTAGTGATGACAGTGCCCATTTACACCAAACTCACTTTTTCTCTTATCTGCGTTCTGGGGCAGATTCCATCCGGTCATGGACCAGGTATTAGTCATCTTGGTAGCCTGGTGCCCAGCAGAGAACTGGTATGCAAGGAAGGTCTGGTGAAGGATTTGAACTCTCCATGGAACCTGTCAAACCAAGAATGTAACAGTTTCCCGGACTTTAAATGCAAAGAAGATTGATAAAGATTCTTGGTAAATGTGTTTACTAATTAATTTTTAGGAATTTAATTTAATGATACACTCAGTGCAAAATCCAGACAATTCAGAAAAGAGTAAAGGAAAAAGTGCAAATCCCTTTCCTCACCCTGTTTACACTCACAGTCGCACGCACTACACGCCACCCCTTCATGCATCATTCTATGCCTTTACAGGCAAAAATGTGTAAATATTTTAAATGGAATCATAGACTTACTGTTATGACTTGTTTTTTTTTCCCATTCATCATTAACATCAAATCTCAGAACTTACCTTGAGCCCATTCTTTTTAATGAGTACATAGTCCTGATAGTTTTACTTTTAAAGAGCACGCGTTTTGGCAGTTCTTTCGAGGGCACATGCTGTAATTGGAGATCCAGTTTTGGATGCTTTGGGGGTCACCTTGAAAAATAAAGAGAAATAATGTTTTCCACGAAGGCAAATAAAATGTACAAGTAGGAGAATGAAAAGTGCTCCTACAGGTTACTTCAAGCCCCACATTTTTCAAACTCAGATCAATTCCAGGGAGAGGGTTTTTGAATATAGTAAATCTGTCTTCTGCATAACTGAAGCCTACAATCTGAGTACAGCAAAGGAGCCTGAGAGTTAGCAGGGCACAGAATCTCAGAGAGTGTGCCCAAAAAAGAAACCTACAAGTCTCTAGTGAAGGGTCAGAAGGCATTAAACCTGATTTCAAACACATCTTAAGTAGAACATATGTTTGCGTGATTTAGGTCAGCCAACCTGGGGAAAACAATTGTACAATTTATTCCTCTGCAACTAGAAGGACAAGGAAAAGGGAGCACTATGAGGACTCAAGTGGCACCACCATAATGGAATCTCCATTTAGGTCAGCAGAAAATGTGGATATCTAAAATGAGCAAGAAATGAAGCAGATTGTAGTTTGCACAGGTGATAGCTTATCCATTGATCCTTGATTTGGTTTCTTTCATACCACAGCCTTCTGATATTAGAAGGATTAAAAACTGCCATCGTGTGTCCTCTAAATCATCAGTTTCTGAGATATTTGTACACTGACTGACCAGAAGGGCCAGACCACTGAAAATCTGAGACCCCTTGCAGTTCTAACATTCTGTGATCCTGGGCATTATGCTTCTTTCATCTAGAGGAGTAACCAACCACTCCTGACTCACTACTGTACATCTCCCCACCTGTGAAATGAAAGTTAGTTATATTGTGGCATCTCACTGATATGAACTCCCTCCAGTTTTCAGATTTTGTACTTGGGGGTTCCTGAGAAAAAGCTGAATAATTTTCCAAAACTAGGGTTCAAGAAATAAAGAATAATTTCTTAGTACCTTCAGTTTCTGTGTCCAAAACATCCTTTCCTCAATAGTAAACTATTTTTATTAATAATGATTAGTTACTGTTTTCTAGGTCTTTTACCTTGGTTTTTAAAAGATCATCTCTTATTAGCATCTTTTTAAGCTGTATTTTTTAATAAAAGAAATAAAGGAGAAATAAATTCTGATATTTTATTTTTGAGAAGTTAGTTTTACCTTCCTCTCTCTACTTAATGATATTTTATTATAGACTTATGCCATTTAACTTTTTCAAAAGTTATAAATAGTTTGTGATAATATTTAAATTATATCAGTTTTTGTAATGTATACATGAATTTGTAATTTATATTTTTAAAATGTTCTAGGGGGATCATGTGATAATGAAATCCTTTAAAAATTAAAAATAAATTTTGCTTTGTAACACATTTTATGACTCATTTCACAAGTTTAGATTTTAAATATTCATTAGGATTACCTATAATGTAAGACACTTAAAAACATAGACTATTTAATAAAGACCAAGGTGCTTACATATCTACAGAAAAAATCATTATATGTAACATGTAAAACTAAGAAAAAATGTGGTATGTTTAACTGGGCACAGAGCAGGTTCTGTGGCCTGTGAACTGGTGCCCTGGGACCTGCACATCTTCCGCGGGACTGTTATCCTGCCTCATTCACTCTGAACTTGCTCATCAGTTTTGCCATCTGAATCAGAAAAGTTAGCCTTTTGTTTAGATTTCAGAGTCACTTCTCAGCATTTCACTCTATAGTATCAGAAGAGTATTCCCAATCCTGCCTTCTAATTTGTCCAAGTTTAGTATGAGGAAAGACTTCTATTTATTTCCATTTTTAAGTCAAATAAACATGCTTTCCAGGAACTAGGAGTCCTTCATAAGTATAATCTCCACATACAACAGGGACTCCTTTTAGTAGCTGATTGGACATCTCTAAAGATAGAGTCTGGCTTCAACAGAGTGTCTGTTGAAGCAGAAAGTTTCTAGGGCACTCTTTTAGCCAGCTTGCTGGCAGAATGTCATTTCTGATACCAGTCGTTTGAGAAACTGATACCAGTCGTTTGAGAAAATAATGGATACATTACTGCTAATCTAGGGGTACCCTTAGAGAACATGCGTAAATGCTCCATGTTTGTTTGAGGAAAAGTAATGCCATAGGCAAGGCAGTTGTGAAATCACATGGATCTTTTCTCGTGCGTGTGCCCTTTTCTTGATCTACAGTTGCCAAGAGGGAGCCCGGATGAGGGACAGGGTATTTAGTTGTATGTGACCCTCATGCCTGTCTCATTTTGGATTTATCTAATGACATTTTCTCAGTCATATAATTCCTGTGCAAGTGAACTTTAAGTTCCACTTCCTTCTAACAAGATTGCCCTACCCGAGTTCCTCCTGCAGTGAAATTCTGAAGATTTCAGGATCTACAGCCATGTTCAGACCTAGTCCAGATGGGCTCAGCAAAGAGCATGCCACACTGTCCTGAGCAGTCTGTCAGGGTAAGCAGAGTGGAATGGGACCAGAACAGGGCTAACTTAGTTGTAGGTGAAGACCAAAACATTGTGCCGAGGGAATTGTTTTCAGGCCCAGTCTGGCCCGTATGTTTTTCAAGCTGGTTCATCTGCTTGGCTCAAAAGGAGATTGTAAGCAGCAGTCATGCTGCGGCAACAACCTATCTGCTGTTGGAGCAGTTGCCCACCTGGAATGGTTGGCAGGGATCAAAGGAGGGAGGTATGGGAAAGCTAGAGGGAAGAAGACATGGATGGTTCCGGAACTCACACACTGATGCATCCAAGTTTTCTGATAATACTGCTTGTTTTGCTCAGAGATGGCTTTGGAACTGTGCAGGCTTGAGGGACAAGGCTTTCCCGACCTCATTGCTTGGAACTGGCTCAGAGGGAAGTTGGATTAAAGCAAAAGTGTGCATTTGCCACCATGAAATGTAAATTAACATGTGTACCATTAGCAACTGCCATCTCTTCCCAGTTAGTAATCCCTGGGAAAGTAGCACTTGCTTATACACTTCTGGGTAATGAAGAATCCATTCAGAGTAAGGAAGAAAGACAAAAAGTTTCCAAGAGAATTCAGTGATCTATCAGCCAATCAATTAATACTTAAGTGCCTAGTCTAGCTCCAAAGAGATACGATTTTATTTTTGTTATTAAGAAACTAATTGGAAAGCTAAAAGTAATGTGCTCACAAGATTGACGATAGAGAAAAACCAAATACCCCTGAGACTATAAGCCCCACAGAAGCAATGCCAGGAGTGAGGGGTCACAGATTCTGGCTATCCCTTCCGAGAACCGAGAAAAATGCTGGACTCTAATTATATAAGTTCCCAGGAAATTGCACCTGTTTAATCTTCACTTCCTGTAAAGATGAAAGTGATAGAAATGGAAATATGTTTCCTTTAGCATATGTTTCTCTTTTCCAATCCACATTTGTAAAAGAGAAAGGAAAATGCTCTTCCTGTCTTTATTGGAATTATTTTTAAAGTGTTTCAGTTTTTCTTTCCTGTTTACACATGGATGTAAAATGTGCTCTTGAAAAACATTAAAAAATACTGAAATGTATAATACAGAAAGTAGAAGTCCTCCAGAAAAGTTCTCTCCAGGTAGCCACTATTAACAAGTTAATGCATATTCACCCAGATATTTTTTCTACACATATGCTATTTGCTGGACTTTCTAAGGGAAG